TGAAAATTAAAAAAAAAAAAAAAGTACTTATTTGAACATGAAAATGGCATGCCAGTTGTAGTAACTTGCATTTCTTTGCTGCAGTCCATGAAAAAGTCTACTAAGCGTTTAACGTGGAGAGGGGCGCCTTGGTGGCTCAGTTGGTTGAGCGTCTGACTTCGGCTCAGGTCATGATCTCACAGTTCGTGAGTTCAAGCCCCACGTCGGGCTCTGTGCTGACAGCTGGGAGCCTGGAGCCTGCTTCGGATTCTGTGTCTCCCTCTCTCTCTGCCCCTCCCCTGCTCGTCCTCTGTCTCTCTCTCAAAAATAATAAATATTAAAAAAAATTTTAAAAAAAGAGTTTAACTTGGAGAAGTGGCTAAAATAATGACTGATGACAGAACCAGAATAAGGGTGAGGATCCATAAGATTATAACTAGCCACAGAAAAGACTGGAAGGCAATAACGTCAAAATGTCAGCTATGCTTGTCTTTGGCAATGGAGTTGTAATCCCCTTTTTCTCTGCCCCACTCCCACATACCCATTTGTAAATATGAGTGTGCGTTATTCCTGTATTCATAAAATATTTTTTTTTTTACTTTCTTGAAAACATCTTTTAAGCCAAAACCTTAAACAAGATTATAAAATGGGAAAAACTGGGGAACAAGATTATTACACTATGGGAAAAGCTGTAGTATTGTAGGGAAAGCAAATGTTCTCATTCTCATGCCAGAGCCCCCGGGGCTCAGCAAACAGAGGGGCGGAGTGGTGCCCATCAGCATGGCACAGGCTGACCCACCGCTCACCCCAGTGGGTGGCCACAGAGAACACCATCGTGGCCGAGGCCGGGCCTTCCAGCCTCAGGAGCGCTCAGATACGCATGTTCACTGGCAGTCTTATGGAATAGATGCTTGCAACCCAGCCACCGGAAAATTCCATCCATGAGGTGCAAAAGGGTGCCTGAGAACTTGCACTTTATAGCATCCCTAGAGGTGGGATGCACCGGCCACACTTTGAGAAAAATTGGACCCAAACTTCTGGGTAGCCTGCAACCTCCCTAGGTCAGCCTTCCCTTGTCCCTGCCTTTTCAATCTCACACCAAATATCTCTCCGAGTCGTCACCATCCACATCTGTGAGCTTGCATCTACATTCACCTTGTACCTTCGTGAGCAACAAAGAATCTCTCTTTCCTTTAAGAGAGGCAACGGTGTCAAAGACCAGCTACCCCAGTTATAAACCTGAAAGTTGTTCTACGCTTCTCAATCACTTCAGTTCTTCTTCCCCTTCTTCCTGCTAATTGCAGCTGCCTATTTTCATGTGTATCTCAGTAACTGTAGGCTTCGTGAAGGCAGGGAATCTGTCCTAACTTGCTTTGGGTGGCCTTCCGGTGCTGCACATAGGGCTGACAGGCTGCGCCCAGTTAAGAAGTGTTCATGGAACGAAGAAGGACAGCCGTGCAAGCTCTAACCTACACCACGGGTATAAAACGGTCACCGTTGCTACTGCGCACGGCTATCACATGCCCCGGTGGTGGTTGATTTAATTTACTAAGCGTCTACTCTGTGCACTCGAGTGGGCCAGGCACAGGACAGGACAGGGAGAGGAGGCAGTGTCTGTAAGATGAGTACAATCAGATGTGCACAGTGCCCGCGGGTCAGGCCAAGTTATTGCCGTCTTTGGGAGACGTCCATTTTATCTACTAGAAAAGAGAAAAATGTTTAAGTGTTGGGTACATTTAGAACTCACAGGACGGAGGTTTTCAAGGGCTTGGATCGGTACTCTTTAGCTGGCTGTACTCACCTCTGAGTACAGAGTACGATAATGAAGGGTGATTGTCATTTGGAGCTGTTGATCATTGAAGAAAAGCCACTAAGGAGAAAAGGCAGAGGGAAGATGTGGTCTAGGGGGAGTGGGTGTCCTTCAATCCGTTCTCTGTTGTGCTTTTTTTCTCCAGAAATTTGAAGATGACGTCACCTACTGGCTAAACAGAGGTCGGAATGGGGACGACTACTATGATTCTTACCAGCGTCACTATGACGAGGACTCTGCGATGAGCCCCTACGACTCCAGGCACGGACCCATCGGCAACTACCATGACTACTAACACCCCGTGCATGCGAACTGGCGCCGAAAGTGCCCCCCACCCTACCCCCTTCACTGCCTCGCACCACGTGGCTTCTGCTGGGCTTTATTCCAGCAGATCTTTTCTACCCCCTTTCTGCGACCAGGAAGGGTGAATTAAAACAAACAATATTAATGCTTTTTGATATTTCATGCAAGTACCTAACAACGCATTTCATTAAAAAATAGAAATAAAAGCATTTTGTTAAAAATGGAAGTCTCCGAATTCATTCGGGTGGATTTCAGTCCCTGGATTTTCCCTAAATTGAAGCCTCATCTGAGAGACAGCTCTCTGTTACCATCACCCTGCCAGGAATCCTCACCACCACCGGGGCAGACCAGGCCACTGAGCAGGGCAGTCTTCCGTTTGTTAACATTTCTGCCCACGCTAAACCCAAGATATGGAACCAACAAGAAAATTTGGTCGAAAATTATTTAAGGCTACAGAACACGGCTTGGACTAATCATTCCACATGTGTGTGAGACTTTTCTGGGCCCCCAGGCCCTGAGCTAGAGCTGGGCCTGTTTAATATGATCACGCAGGAAATGAAGGGTAATAGAAAAAAGGCTGAAGTTTGGGTGAAGTCATGGCCTCATTTCTCTTAAAAGAATTAAAGCTTAGCCAATGAATTCAAGAACTATTTAAGAATATACTTCACTTCATATTTAAGCAACCAGAGTGAATGAGGGGTGCTTGGGTGGCTCAGTCTGTTAAGCCTCCGAGTCAGGCTCAGGTCATGATCTCTTGGTTAGTTGGTTCAAGGCCCCTGCAGGGCTCTGCACTGACAGCTCAGAGCCTGGAGCCTGCTTCAGATTCTGTGTCTCCCTCTCTCTCTCTCTCTGCCCCTCCCCTGCTTGTGCTCCCTCTCTCTCTCATTAAAAATAAGTAAATAAACAACCAGAGTGTGAATAAAAGAGAAAAGTGCTGTGGAGGTGAGGAGAGGGAAGAAGGAGGGAGATGGGGGCAGGATGGTGAGGTGAGGGGGTGCTGTCCGGAGACATTACTGATGGAGGGAATCTGGTCACAGCCTGTGTGATGACCTCTGTGCTGCGGCGGGCACTCAGAATGGCTCTTAGACTTTTGTGGGTCACAGACCCCTCTGACAGTCTAATGGAAGCTTTTCGTTCTTTCTCAGAAAAATGATAATTTTGTATATAGTCCCTGGACTACATCTCCATTCACAAACCATAACTAAAGATAAACAAACAACGGGCTTCAGGAGAGTGGTATATATGGGCACTCATAACACCCACATATAAATTTTGTTTTCATAACTTTATGTCTTCCTTTGGCATCCTTACAATTTTTTAAAAATTTGGTAAACTATTCATAACATAAAGTTTACCGTTTTTACCACTTTTAGATGTATAGCTCAGGGGCATTAAGTGCTTTCACATTATTGGCAACCATCACCACACCCATCTCCAGAACATGTCCATCTTCCCGAACTGAAATTCTGTCCCCATTGAGCACTAACTCCCCATCCCCACTCCACCCCTCCACCCCTCCCTCCGCCGCCAGCTCCTGGCAACCCCCATTGTCTTTTCTGTCTCCGAATATGGTGACTTTGGTATTTCACTGACATGGAATCATACAGTGTTCTTTTGTGTCTGGCTTATTTCACTTAGCATAATGTCATCAAAATTCATCCATGTTGTACCATGTGTCAGAATATCCCTCCTATTTAAGGATAAACGATGTTCCAATGTATGTTTGTGCCCCATTTGATTTATCCATTCGTTAGTGGACAGATGCCTGGGTTGCTCCCCTCTTTTGTCTACTGTGCATGATGCCCATGCACATAGCTCTCGTGTGCCTGCTTTCAATTCTTTTGGGTGTATGCCCGGAAGTGGAATTATTGGATCATATGGTACTTGTTTAATTTTTTGAGGGACTGCCATACATATTTTTCACAGTGGCTGTCCTGTTTTACATTCTCACCCTTTAAGCGTGTTTCTTCTTCTTGTCTACTATTAGGCTGGTTCAAACCCAGCACAATTAAAGAGGAGGGAGGGAAGGGTGATGGAGAGGCCATCTCAGCTTCGTTCCTGACCTTGCCATGCTTCTCCATGCTTGCTGGATGATTTTGGTAGATGTCTATAAAATTAAGGAAATTTAAGGAAATGGAGTTTCCTATTTATCGTGCTGGCTTTAAAAGTATCCTAAGAAAAGTTCTAAATGTCACGAATGGATGTCAGATTCTATTTTCCTTATCTGTTGAGATGATATCACTTTTCCTTTTTAATCTATTAATTAATGTGGTGAATTCTGTTAACAAAATTCTAATATTAATCAATTGAATCCCTGGGGTGAAACCTAACTTGATCATGATTTCTTTTTATTTATTGTTGAATTCTGGTTGGATATATGTTCAGAATTCTTATATCCATGTTCATGAGGAAGGTTGGCCTTAGTGTTTTCTTCTGGATGTTTTTGTCAGTTTAGGTATCAAGGTTATTCTGCCCTCTTAAAATGAGCTGATTTCTTTCTTATTCTGTGTAGGAATGGAATGATTTGTTTCCTGAATGGTAGCATTCAGATAAAGCCATTTGAATTTGGTGTTTTCTTCATGGTAAAATTGCTTCCTATTGATTGCATTTTTTTTTTTTTTTACAGGTAAAACATTATTCTGACTTTATGTTTCTCCTTGGATCTGTTTTGTTAAATTCCATCTTTCTAGGTAGTCTCCCATTATATCAAAGTTCTGAAGTATTGAGAGTTGTTCTTAATATCCTTTTACTGCTTTTCTCTGTAGTATCTGTGGTTTTGTTATTTTTTTTCATTTCCATTCCATTTGTGCCTTTTTAAAAAATGAACCGTCTTTTCAAGCATAAAGATTTTGCTTTGTTGATCTGTTCTTTTGTATGTTTCTCTACTTTGTGAATTTCTGTTCTCTTAATTTCCTTCCTTCTACATCTGTGGGACTTTGATTTATATTAGATCTCAGCTCTATTTTCAGCCTTATTTTTTTTGAAGGCATTTAATAGTTTCCTTCCAAGAACTGTATCCCATGAGTTTGATGTGAAAAGTTAAGAAAAGATGACATCATCTCATTTCAATTATATTTTCTCCTTTGACCCTTAAGTTGATTACAAGTGTTATTAAATTTCCAAGTGAATGGATTTTTCTAATTATCGTATTGGCTTTGTTTTCTAACTTAATTGCATTGTGGTAAACAATTGGAAAAAAAAAAACAAAACAACTATGGTCAGATCCTGATCTTTGGAACTATACTGAGGCCAGCTGTATGGTCCAGTGTGTCAACCCCAGCAAGTGTTCTATGTGTGTCTTTTCCAGACATCAGATGAAATCAAGTCCATTAGCTCAAGCTGGGTAGTTGTACTCTTCACATTTTCTATTTTCTTACTGACTTTTTTTTTTTTTTTTTTTTTTGGTCTGTTTGATCTACGGATTACTGCCAAATGTGTTAATGTGTACTATGATGATGGATTCAAAAGGGTTTTCCTTTAATTCTGTCATTCTGGCTTCATAGGAGGCTACACACAAATTTGCATGGTATCCACACATTTCAATGCATCTTCCTAGTGAATGGAATCATTGCTCATTATGCAGCAAATTTCTTATTTCTAGTAGTGCTTTTTGCCTGAGTTCTCCTTTGATATTAAGATAACTATATTTGCCTCCCTTTGGTTACTAACTGCCTGGTATATCTTTTCCATAGTTCAGCCTTTTTGTGTGTGTGCTTTATGTGTGTCTTGTAAAGAATAAATAGCAGACATTTGTTTTGTTTTTAAAATATGGTGTGACTATTAAGGCCTTAACAGGAGAATGTAGTCCACATACTCTATTTTTAAGTTCATTCATTTATTCTGAGAGGGGGGAGGGGCAGAGTATGAGAGAGGCGGCAGTGGGGGGGGGGGGTGCCAGAGAGAGAGAGAGAGTGAGAGAATCCCAAGCAGGCTCCAAGCTATCAGAGCAGAGCTCGCTGCAGGGCTCGATCCTACAGACTCTGAGATAATAACCTGAGCTGAGCTAAGAGTCGGACACTTAACCAACTGAATCACCCAGGCGCCCCTATTTCACTTTTAATGTGATGAGCAATTTGGTTTTATTTCTAACATCACAGTTTGGACTTCTGACTCATTCCATTTCATCTGTTCCCACATTCTTATTCCTCTTTTCTTGCCTTCCTTTGGACTGTTATGTTTTCCTTGGTAGAGTCTTTTCCTTGTATTTCTTTTGAAGGTATGCACTGGCTCTGTTCTATTCGTGTTTGCTCTATTTAATGCTTATTTGACAACACGACAGGCACTCGGTAGCCATATAGACTTCTCCTGGACAATACAAGGACCTTGCAAAACCTTATTCTCCAATCTCCTCTCCCAACTTCTGAGCGGCTGTAACTTGGCATTTTAAATTTAGCCTTCTTTATTTTCCCCACGGATTATCTTTGTTTCATATGTAGTCATTAATTTGTTTAGACTGTCACATAGTTATCTTGGTTCATTATTTCTCCTTGCAACTCAGACCACGTACCTGAGGTCATTTTCCTTCGATTTGAATTAAATCTTTCAGGATCCATTTAGTGAGGGTCATTGGGTGGTAAACTCTCAAGTTTGGCATTTTCCCCTGTTTCACTTGGTACAGAATTTTTGGTTATTTAATTAGTACTTTGAGATGATTCTTACTGTCTTATGGTTTCTACTGTTGACGTTACAAATTTTGCTACTTACCTATCACTTCTCTCTGAGTGACACTGTCCCTCCAAGGGTCTTTTATAGCTTACTTGTCTGCTATCTCCCACAGCTAGGTCTATATATATTTACACTGCTTAGGGTGTGTTGGGCTTTTTAATCTGACGGTCAGCATCTTTAAACAAATATGGAAAATTCTCGCAATACTTCTTTGAATGTCACTTCTTCCTCATTCTATGATTTCTTCCCAAAACGTTACTCAAGTATATAAACTTCACTTACATTTTCCCTTTCTTTTTCAAATATGCTTAGTTATGTCTCTTGTTA